GGCGGCCGCCCGGCAGGTGGGTACCGGCACCGGGAGCGGGATACCGGCCCGCGGTGCGGGGGGGATTTGCTTCGTCCCGGGCCCCCCTGCGCCGAAAGGCCGCCGGAGGGGTGGGGGTGGAGGTCGTGTCCGCGCCCCCCTCCCCTGTAGCTGTTAACCGTGTTTGTTGCCCCGCGGCTGGGCAGGGGCTGCCGGCGGGGAGCCGCGGGGTGCTGGGGCTCTGCTCCCTGCGCAGCCCCGGCGGAGGTGGGGGCCTGTCTGGGCTTCCCCAGGCCGTGGAAAGCAGAACCTGGCAGGGGCCGGCGCAGGGAGAGGCTGGGATGGAGCCATGGCCGGGGCACAGGGCCCTCGGGTCACTTGTGAGGGAAAATCTGAGCGCGGGGTCTGACTCACCGTGCAGCGGGGCGCTCCCGCCACAGCCGCCTCCCATCACGAGGTGCCGGTGCCTCGCCGGGACCCCACTGCAGCTCCGTGGCCTCGGCTCCTGCCCACTCCTCAGCTGCGGGTGCAGCCGAGCAGCAGAGATGGTCCCTGTCCCTGTTGGACCTCGCTCCTGCCTCCTGGGGCTGCCCTCTTCGTTTCTACTAAAAATGGCGTTCTGTGACAGCGCGCGTTGCCTGGCACACTGCTGCTGCCCAAACCAACGATTTGGGTTCAAATACAAGAGCTTCTGTCGCCGGCGTGGTGGTGGATGGTGTGTGCAGTATGTGTGGAACTGCACTGGCAAAAAGCAAGTCCAGGGTGGGCCACGTTACAAGCACAGGGAGACCAATTCCTTCTTGCAACTTAATTTGGGGTAATTAACCAAAGAGAGACTTCTCTCCAGTGTAATTAACCTGGAGGCTGTTACTCAGGTAGCCTGCCTAGCAGCCTCTCCTCCACATGCAGTGTGGTTAACTGAAGCACGCCATGGCTCTGGCCCAGTCACTCAGCGCCTCTTAGAGAGCGGAGCTGTGGCTGGGCGAGGGCTGGGGTCTGGGCGGGATGTCAAGCCGGGTCCACAGGGCGCTTCTGTGCCAGCACAAGGTGGGAGAGGGGCTGCCTCCAGATGATGTCCTCAAATTTCCTATGAAGAGTTTGCTGGGACATTTGCGCTTAGACGGGGAGGAGCGGTGCCAGCCTTTGGCAGCTGTTAGCAGGGACATCTCGCCAAGCGTGATTCTGTGCTGCCCTGCTTCTGGGCGAGTCAGAACAGCAGACTAATTAGAGTGAAATACAGGGTTCGTTAGGCTGGAAGTGCCTAGCATGGTCCTGTGGGAGTGGGGCATGGCAGCTGGGAAGAGTTGCCTGTGCCATTGTAGCTGTTCTGGTGTGAAAATAAAAATAATCTTCCTAGCTGGTGTAACAGGACCCCTGTGTGTTTACAGCGTAGGTTATCTTTAAAAAAAACACGTGGTGAGTTCTGCAGGTCTGAAGGCTGTTAAAATGGGGATTAACCAGATCTCGTGACTGTAGGTCAGGAACAGGTTTTCTTGGTGGCTTGGAAGAAGTGCCTGAGCCCTGCCACAGCAGGGGCGGTTGGTGGTGGAGACCCAGCTCTGCCAATCTGATTTATTGTCACTTTGTCCCTTCACAGCGCAGACAGCTCAGGTCCCAGCTGCTGACAGGGCACTATGTGCCGTTTTCCTTAGCAGAGGAGGAGAGCGAGTGCCTTGCCAGAGCTTTGAACCTGTGGCTGCTCAGACCATGCATGCCCTGGGCAGTGGCACTGACCTGGCAGCGGCGCCTGGGTTGTCACCATAGTGCTGGGGTTGCCTTTTGGGGTAGGGCAACTGCTTCTCCCCCTCGGATGGTCCCTTGACCTAGATGTCGTATAGTTGTATAGATTGAAGCAGGAAGGCAGGACAGCTTTGGCAGAGAAACAAAGACAGTCTGGAGCTGCTTAGCTCACTGGAGACTTAAACATGGGTTGTGGTAATGCAATAAAAATGCCCCCAGCAGAGCTTCTTCCCTTTTTCACGTGCTTGTTTAATAGAAATGAAAGTGATCTTAAAGTGATAAAAGGAAACATGGGTCTGCAGTTTCCCGGCTGACTGGGGCAACAGGCTGAGATTGGGGACTTGTGGGCGGGAGGTGAGGAGGGGCTGGATAAACACACCCGTGACCATAGAGGAGATGCTACAGGGCTGTGTTTATTCCTTCTATCTAATCTAAATCTCCCCTCTGTCAGTTTAACCCCTTACCCCTCATCCTATCCCTACACCCGAGTCCCTCCCCCCTTTCCCGCAGCCCCTTTCAGCCCTGGGGGGCCGCTCTAAGGTCTCCCTGCAGCCTTCTCTCCTCCAGCTGAACCCCCCAACTCTCCCAGCCTGTCCTCACAGGGGGGGCTCCAGCCCCCCCAGCATCTCCGTGGCCTCCTCTGGCCCCGCTCGAGCAGGTCCGTGTCCTTCTGCTGTTGGTGCCCCAGAGCTGGACCCAGCCCTGCAGGGGGGTCTCCCAGAGCGGAGCAGAGGGGGAGAATCCCCCCCTGGCCCTGCTGCCCACCCTGCTCTGGGTGCAGCCCAGCATCTCTAAATGTTATTAGTCTTGTTTTTTTTAACTTCAAGTAACAGGGTGCAAAATGCAGCCTTTGTGGCCGGGTGGCGATGCCGGCGGGCTGCTGCGCCTGCTGCAGTCAGAAAGTCTTGTCAGGGGGCGGGGAAGGGAGAAAAAGAGAAGTCTGCTGGGTGAGCCCCGATTCCTGGCAAAGGGGCTGCAGGTTTTGCCTCCCTTGGGTACCGGCAGAGAGGCTGCCTGTCCCTGCCTGCCCGCTGCCTGGAGCTGGCATCCTCAGAAAGCCCCTGCCCTCGGGTGGGGGCAGGAGCTTCCCCACGCAGAAGGGTTTTAGCAAGTCCAGACCCTTCTGCTGGGTGCTCGCAACGTCAGGGACTGTGGTGACGCTTTAGCCTGGAGAGAGGCAGGTGGGCCAAGACAAAACCAGCATCTCCCAGCCTCGTGCAGGTGAGGGGCAAGGAGCAGCTGTGTCCTGGAGTGCCGGTAGCTGAGTGGTGACGCCACGGGGAGAGTCTGGCCGCTTTCTCTCCCGTTATGGGCCTGGAGGTGAGGAGCCTCATTCTCTGCTGGTGTGGTGCGCTTTGGGGATGATGGCTGTGTTGGTTTGAAGCCTGGCACGGCTGTGGTTGTGCGGCAGAGGAGGGGGATTTCAGAAGCTCTGCAGCTCATCTCCCCCGTATGCTGCCGTGGCCGCTGACACAGCCTTGCAGGCTGGAGCCTTCCCACCCAAGCAGGTATCAGGGGGCTCCTCAGCAGAGTGCACTGGGGCCAAAAGGGCCCTGGGGGCTGGAAATCCTCTTCCTTCCCTCCCACTGCTTCTGCAGTACCCCAGTGGGCTCCTGATGTGGTCTGTGCAGCACTTTATCTCGTTGATAACGGAAAGCCACGTGCTTCCAGTTCGTTAGTGAGCAGCAGGATGGTGATAAGGGGCAGTGTATAAGAGATGTCTTCATGCCAGGCGGCGATCTCTGGGGCTGGGTGATGTCCTGCAGGGAACAGCCTCGCTGGCTTGTCCCTGTGGAAATGGGCTGTGCCGCAGTCAGACGCTTCCTATTTATGGGTTGGTTTCTGTGGTGCTTTAGCCTCAGCTGAAGTTATTCTGCTATTCACAAAAAGGGTTTATGCTCGGACTGCTCTGCTCAGAGGTAAAACACTGCTGTGGCATCACGTGTAGCGGTGTGGCTTCTTGTCACCTTTGCCAAATGGGGGTGCTGGCAGCAGTGCTGCTGTCTCCCACCCTGACGGGCGATGCTCCAGGCTGGTGCTGGTGTCTGCATTCACCTGCCGCTGTCTGACCTGGGAGATGATCCTTTCAGGGCATGAGGTGGTGGCTGAGATCTTCTGCCACATTTTTTTTCTTGTTGAGACTGATCCTGAATTTGCTGTCACCCTTCTTGCAGCAGTGCTGGAGCGGGTGGCAGTATGGTGAAGGGGGAAGGGGCCTCGGGCAGTCTCTAGCCCAGCCCCTGCTAGGAGTGGATCCCTTAGGCCGGGTCGCTCAGGGCTACACCCAGTGGAGGTTTGGGTATCTAACAGGGACGGAGACTCTCCACCCTCTCTGGCCCCAGGTTCAGTGGGTCGCCATCCTCAGGGTGAACGTTTGTCTCTGATATTGAAGCAGAAGTTCCCTTGCTGCAGCTTGTCTGCTGCTTCTTGTCCTGTCAGTGTGAATCTTCAAGGAAAGTCTGGCTCTGTCTTCTCTGTAACCTCTTGTTAGGTGTCTGGGGATGGCAAGAACATCTCCATGAGAAGCACCAGCTTCTCCTTGTACATTTTACCACATGCTCCAGGCCCCGAGTGTATTGCTGGACTCACTTCTGTGTCTCCGTGCCTTTCTTGTCCCAGGGACCCCAAACTGGCCACTGAGTCCCAGGTGTGCTATCGCAGGTGCCAGGTGGAGGCGTGGGATCCCTTCCCCGTACCTCCTGGCTGTGGTCTTGCACCACCCAGGAAGCAGTCGACCACCTCCGCTGCAGGTTTGTGCCACCAACTCCTCTTCAACTCATCCACCAGCTCGCTATAAGACTCTTCAGCAAAGCTGCTTTCTAACCACTGGGGCACGTCC